CTGTATTCAGCGTTGGTGCAGCCTCACCTTGAGTACTGTGTGCAGTTCTGGGCCCCGGCAATTTAGGAAGGATGTGAAGGTCCTTGAATGCGTCCAGAGGAGGGCCACAAAGCTGGTGAAAGGGCTGGAAGGAGTGTCCTGTGAGGAGTGGCTAAGGACTCTGGGTTTGTCTAGTTTGGAGACAAGGAGGCTGAGGGGTGACCTCATTGCTCTCTACAGCTTCTTGAGAAGGGGACGTGGAGAGGGAAGTGCTGATCTCCTCTCCCTGGGATCCAGTGGCAGGATGTCTGGGAATGGTTCAAAACTGCACCAGGGGAGATTTAGACTTGACACTAGGAAGCATTTCTTTACTGAGAGGGTGGTCAAACACTGGAACAGGCTTCCTAGAGAGGTGGTCGACGCTCCAAGCCTGTCAGTGTTTGAGGCATTTGGACAATGCCTTTAATACCATGCTTTAACTTTTGGTCAGCCCTGAATTGGTCAGGCAGTTGGACTAGATGATTGTTATAGGTCCCTTCCAACTGAAATTATGCCAGTCTATGCTATTCCCTTTCCTTCCCACCTCTCTAGATTCCCAAGGGAAGCCCTGGGAGTGCTGTCAAGAGTGATGGCCTCTGCTTCTGCTTTGGAGTGTCAAAGGGAGACGAATCCCACTCAAGATGACTTTTCTTCAGTTCTCTCTTAGCTGCCCATTGATGCAAAAGCCTCCAGGAGCACCTGGTGATGTTGTTGTTGGGGTGCTCCTGGGCTCTAAATGACGAGTGATGTGAAGAGAGTGAAGTAGTGGTGTGCCTGTGTTTCTTCTGTCAATGTTTGTGAGCAGATGTTCTTGCAGGTTGACAGATTGTTGTCTTGCCTTTCACAGAGCCCAGCCCAATCCATGATCTCAAGGTGGAATATGTTGGCGTGACTTCTGTCAACTTAACATGGGCGGTGAATGACTCTGCTTCCAACTCCTACACGTACAGGATAGAGGTTGTAAATGATACCTCTATTAGGAACCTGACGTCCGATGTTACCAAAGTCGAAATTACTGAGTTAATCCCTGGAGCGATGCACAGTTTCACAGTATTTGCAGTAGCGGCTGATGGTGAGATGGAAGGAGAAGGGGTGTCCATAAGGCTGTATACAAGTAAGTCACAGTTGCTTGCCGCTCTATTTCTGGTGGATCATATTTTGCTCTGCAGCTCATGGCTCTGCCTACGTGCCTGAGGGTTGAAATATAATACAAGCCTTACCTGGGCTGTCTACTAAGAATGGGATGTTGATGT